GTCATTAGCACCTCTAGTAATATATTTACTGAGAAAAATGTTGACGTGTTCAATACTTATTTTACCCGCTGTATTGTCTGCTCCAAATACTGTATTGAACTGGTATGTTTTATAAATTTTATTATATTTTTCCTTTATCCTTTGTATTTTCTTCTTTTGTTATATTTGATATAACCTTTACACTAAAGCAAATTCCTGTGAATCCTGTTCATTAAAAATGGCAATAAAACTGATTCTGATTCTAAACAATCAAAAGTCTGCATGGAAATGACAGCTTTATCGTGTGCCCATGACTTAATAGTGCACGAAAACACAATAATTATTTTGTGGGCATGAACATAATTTTTCTTCTCCAGTGTCACCAGACTGACCCCATAGGTTTTAACAAATTTTACATAAAATGTTGTTTGGACAAAACTCTTCCTGATATAGTTTCTTTTCTTTTATCTGCTTCTGAACTTGTTCTAAAGTTGCAGATTAAAACCTCCTCAGGTTCAGTTAATCCTGATCCAAGACATTTTAGAGAAACACGAGTCTGAGGCTTCAAATTGAGATGATTTAGGTTTTAATTTTAAGCCCGAGAAACAAACAGTTCAGTCATACAAAGAAACATCAATAAGTCCAGTTTAAAAAGAAAAAAATGAACCAAATGTTGAACCTGTTGTCATAAAGATAAAAGAAATCTTTTATCTGCAGCCTTGAGATCAATAAAAACACAAACAGTGACTGTTTTCTCTCAGAAATAAAGATATTCCTGTAGAAACCTGAACAAACCAGATGAACCAAAGCTGCTCTGAAGGGATTTTCTGTCTGTTTGGCAGCTTTTCAAAACTTTTTCTCTGCAGCACAAACTCAGCTGGAAGCTACAACGTCTAACAAAAACAATGTTTTACTAAGCAACTGATAAACCAGAAGGTCATAAAAAAGTAGTTTCACTCCTACAGCAGAGAAATACATGAAAGAAAACTCATTTCTTTCATTGTTTTCTGAGGATTGACAAACTTCAGCAGCCGATTTCCTGTAAAATGCATAAAAACAGCTAAAGAAATGAGATGCAGACAGAGTGAAAGAACTTTTTAAAGCTCTCTGAACAAAGGAATGATTAAAGGCCCAGAATAAGTTCTGGTTCTGCTCCAGCTGCAGATCTGCCACGCGAACAAACAGCTGGCTGAAAGTTTCCCCAGGACTCATGTGTGCAGCTGCAGGAGGACAACTCTGTTGGACAGAAAGAAGGACAGAGACAGACAGACAGGCAGACAGACAGGCAGACAGGCAGACAGACAGGCAGGCAGACAGCAGCTGCAGAAGGATCTTACCTGACAGCACAGCAGAAACTCACAGCTGCTCCAGATGTTTGTCAGTCTGTCCTGTAGCTGCCTCTGTGGGCGGTTCTGTCAGGTATGGAAGCCCAGCAGCGACAAAATTAAAAATTTAGAAAATCAATCTCAAAACAAAAAACGTGAAGCCAAACCTAGTAAGAACTTTTTTTGTCACTTCAGTAGAAAACGAAATCAAATATTAGTTTATTTAGTTTATGTATTTCTTCATCATCAGTGACTTTTTTTAAGTGAAGAGAAAATAGAGACAGAAAGAAAAACAGAGAGAGAAGTAAT